GTTGTTGGGTTTTTGGAGCTCTTCCCGATCAAGTGGCCGGACTTCGTCGAAGTCCGCCGGAAGAATAAAGCAGAGGCGGTTCAGTTGCATATTTGAAGAAGAAGAAGAAGAAGAAGGGGCAGTGTAGACATGAAGGGAAATTTTTGGAGAAAAGGTTTGAACTTTGGCATATTTGTATTAATTTTTGGGTGAGTGCTTTGGTTTCTTTTTTTGGGTTAAAAAAATGGAAGAAAAATATATAAATAATTCAAACTAGTTAGGTTGCATGGTTGAATTGAATGCTATCAACCAGCCAACTTAGAACCCACCCCCTTGACAAGATTATCATCAGAATAATATTCTTTTTCTTTTTCAAAAAATAAAAATGTAGTTTTGGAATTTTTACTTTACACCACATTCCAGATGGTTCCCTCTTCACACGTGTGGCATACTTCTTTGCAGAAAAAGTCCATTCCTTAATGGTCCATTTTACATGTAAAACTTTTATGAAATCTCCAAGGCACGTGTCTTACTGATAAAGATTTGAATAAATTTGAACTTTCAAAAAGTAATTAATATCTTAACTAGCTATGCTGAAGTTGATATTAAAATTAGTTTATTCATAGTTATATTTAGTTAAACCTATATATGAATACGTGGGAAAATCAATACCCCCATTTAATTAAGTTTCTAATTTTTCTGTTATGATTTGTTATTAGTTATGAACATTCTTGCCGTAAAAAATAATAATAAAGAAGTTATTAACTTTTTTGTGGCTAGATGAGAATATATATATATTTTGTAGATGTTAATTATCATTTAATGACTTGATTTTAGTGTTTTGTTAGATTAAATTTTGTATGATTTACTAATTTATTCTGAAGAAAATTTCTAATTTAGCTGTGAGGTGGTATTAATTTCTTTATAAAAAAGGATGAGATTGAAGACTTTCAAGTTAAAAAAGAAAATTGAATAGTTTTTTCCTTTTACAAAAAATATATATATTTACGCATTTCATTTTTGCTCTTGATTTCCACATCCGTGTTACATTTTACCTATAAATACTTGGGAAATACTCTGAAAAAAAAATCCAAAACTCCACTTTTAGTATTTTCTTTTAAAAAAATCTAATTCCAATTAAGAATATACCAATTCTATAAATGTCTGACATTCTGCCAAAAACAACTGAAAAAATATCAATTAAATAAGTTTCTTAAATTTAAATATAACTTTTGTTTTTAGATAATTTCAAACTACGATTTGTAATCTTGGAGGAATAGGGTGCCGACACATCGATATTATTGGGTTTGTCATTGATGTAAAGGATGAATCAATATTCCCATTATATGTAAAAATCAATGAATTATTAAAAAAATATCAACAAAATATCATTAATAACACGTCCGAATTTTAAATGTATTAAAAAATGGTAAAATGTTTATGTATTAATTTAAATAATCTGTATGGACTTTTTATTTATAATCTAAAATAGATATAAACATTGACATTTTGTTGATATTTCAATTGACATTTTTATAAAATTGGATCACAACATTTCCATCCACATCAAATTTAAAACCATTTCGAGAAAAAATACATCTATATTTCAAATTTGAATATATATAAGATTATAAATCTCATCGTTCCATTGAGTTTTAACATTATTTTTAATGAACATGCATACACGACTTATTCTATATTTACCCATACACTCAACTTAATATGCAATAGTATGGAAAAACGTTCATACTCCCATTTGTTTGTTTGTCATTTACTGGATTATTTAAAAATGATACGAGATCTATTAAATAAAATAATTTATTACTTGATGTGTCAAATTGTCAACAAAAAGAGCATGAACTATTGTAAAACAAAAAATTTTAATACAAATTTGATGATAACAAAATTATTTGTAAATTTCACAAACTACAATATATTTTAGAAGAACTGTTTTTAGTACCAATATATTTAGTAGAACTTGTCAATTTAAATATAGTTCAGTGTAAAGTATTCTATCACACTCAATTAGATACTCTATTTATAAGGTTGAACTAAGGGGAAAAAAAAGTATTTATAGCTTACTTTTCTTAAAAAAAAAAAAAGGCATACTTTTCAAATTTTAGTAACTTCAAGAATTTTACTTTTCTTTTATTCCCAGGGTCAACCCTCTGAAATCAATCCTCATTTCAAGGAAAGTCCCCTTAAAATAGACAAAGAATGAACATTTATGTACAATATATATTTTTTGTTAAGAATTTATTTTAAAAATTATACTTTTTAAATTAACACGCACATATACATATATGATGAAAAATTGAAATTATTTAGATCTATAATTAATGTAAAGTTTTTATTAGTATAAACATCTAATATAATAAATCAACATATGTCATTTTTTATGTTAGAATTATTTGCATTAAATTCTATTCCCATGTTCATTTAATAAAATAAATTATCATRTGACATTAAAAGAATAATAATTACAACATAATAAAATTGAAAGAATGAAGAAAATGATGGAAGGGCAATCAAGGTCAAGAACAAGATTTCTTGGTTCCTATCCATAAAATTATAATTGAGAAGAAATATTYTTTTGTTTCAATTTCAAGAAAATATTGACACCTTTAATTACTTTTTTTCAACATTTAAAGTAAAAATTTATATATGAACATAATTACCTTTTTACTTACCAGTATTTTCTTTTTATTTTGCTTTTAATCGAGTTAATTGACTATTAAGAGATGAATATAGTATTGCATACAAAATTCTATGAATTTTAAGCTAAACATAATTCAGCAAAGACATACCGCATCTRGTTCGAATAGAATCATGTTGATTTCTARGAGTTCGTTTGATAATATTCTCGATTTTTATTCTTGTTTCCAAATTTTTATTAAAAAAACTTAAACATTTTGCGACTAAATATGTTTCTTGTTCTCGTTTTTCTATGAACATTCTCAAAATTGTATACAAATTTTGGAAACAATCAAAACAAGTTTCTTGTTTTTATTTTCAATTCGTTACAATATATAAATATAAAATTATTTGATGATTCTTAAATTTATGGATGTTCGGACTATACAATTCTATTTTTCTTTATTAAAAATGAAGAAATAAAAACAAAAAACAAACACGTTAACAAATGAACCTTAAATTATAAAAAACGATCGAGTTGAATACAGCTGTAGAAATCAAACTAGACCCAATTATTAAAGCTCTATTAATTTTGAATCATTTAAATCATTTAAAATTCTTTTACAAATACATATTAAAAAAAACTAATCAAATCATGACGACCTTTTAATCCTGGGGAAAGAAAGTCAAWGCGTAGACCACATGGAAACGCGGTGCGGTCCATAACGGCTGACTAACCTTGGCGGGTTACCTGGCTGTCACAGATTTATCCGATTGCGCCAATCACGGTCCAATCAGAACCGTTCATAGCGTGAATCATGACTGTCACCAAAGCCGTCGCTCGAACTGTCACAGTCACTGAAACATTATCTATCTCAAATAATTAACATAAAACTTCACTTATAAATAAATTCCACGTGTACTTTAAAATTCTAAATTCCACGTCAGATGACAACCAACGTAAAGTTTTGTTTTTTGTTTCTTTATTAAGTAAAGTTATTTGATTAAATTTTCATTTTCAATTTAAATCATCGTGGGAGGAAATTCAAACGGCTGGACAAATTTTATATTCTTTTGGAATTCAAGTAACATTTAAATTAGTGCAACTACATGACAATTAAATTCGGGTTAAATTATATAAAATATGCTAGAACTTTCAATATGTTCAAACTTCATGATAACTAGCTACCTTAAGAATTAGTAATTGCTATGTATTTTTCGGTCAGACGGTTGTCATGTGAGATTAGTCGAAAGTGCGCGTAAACTGACCCGAACACTTACGGATATTAAAAAAAACAAAACTTTTGGGTATGTTTG